TATTATTTTATTTATTCTTTCTTTTGACTGGATACATTTTCAATACAAAAGTACTGGTCTCTCAAATGGTCCAGTTATTTTAAACAATTCTAGGAATAGAAACTTAATTAATATTAACATAATCAAAATACAAAATCATTAGAATTAAAAAACAAAAACAACAACAAAAGACATAAAACATGAAAGAAAACAGAAAAGAATTTAAATATGTGATAAAATTCAAAATTAAGAAATAGCACTTTTGAAAATATCCAAACTCATATTGGTTGCATTTTTCCTTATGTCAATTGGTAGGTTATTCCATTCTTTGGCAGATTGTTTTGGCAGATCAATAAACATTGGTTTATGGAACGTCCACAGTACCTTCTGCGGTGCCTATGACATTCCACTGCGCACTTACCATTCGGCGACCCATTGCATTCTCGGTGCATTTGTTATGCGACAGCGACTTTTTCATTCGGTGGCGACTATGTATTCTGCGCATTTGTTATGTAGTGGCGATTTTTTCATTCGGCGGCGACCCTAGCATTTGGCGACTACATCATTCAGCATTCAGCGACCTTAGCATTCGGCGACTATAGGCCTGTATCAATTGGCGACCATCGAATATTATAACGGGTAATTTCCAACGCCTGCTTACAATACAAGCCTAACTTACATAGCTGTATATTTTTGTGTTAATCTGGTGCTTCTGTTTGTGTTTATGTTTTTCTACTACATTTGAAGAAGAAAAATGATAATGCACATGATTAGTATATACTTATAAGTGATTTCGTGGTCTAAAACAATGATTCTGTGACATTTAAAAGGTTGTAGTCCAGTGTCCTTGGCCCATCCAGTACTCTAGAAGTGTTTGGAATGTAACCTCATACTTGACAATTCCTAATACATTCTAAAAATGCATTATTATGACAGTGTAAATCGGCACTCCCTGCACCCCAAAGTTGTAAGAAGCACAACCAGGAAGCACTAGGTATTTTAAATGGTTTAGAAAGCTAGGCTTATGTACACAGACGTTGGAAAATACAAGTTTTCAATTATAGTCCCCGAATGCTAAAGTTGCCGAATGATGTAGTCGCCAAATGCTAAAGTCGCAGAATGATGCAGTCATCAAATACTAGAGTCGCCGAATGATAAAGTCGCCGCCGAATGATTAAGTTGCAGCCAAATGCTATTTGTGTGGAACAAAAGGCCGCTGCCGAATTATAAAGTTGTAGCCAAATGCTATTTGAGTCGAACGAAAAGTCACCGCAGAGGGCAATGGGGGCGTTCCATGTTGGTTGGTTGGCCTTTATACTGTACTTTTTCCAGTTGCGACCAATTTTCAGATCCTCCGTTTTGAGGCAACCTATCACATACGTAACTGGCACTTTGCAAGTTCTTGTTATTGGGAGTCCACACTCTCCTCAACTCCACCATGGTTGAAGTTGCATATGACATCGCCACATGCCTTATAATGGCGTTTGAAGTGTCTTAATTTGACATTAATCAAAAATTCTAACTTGTTTTTTGGGAAAAAATTCTCAGCTTTAACACTACTTCTACCCCCACTATATTAGTGCTCTCCTACGTGTGTGGGCAGGAATAATACTGATCATAATCAATATAGTATGGTGTCTTGACCCCTTTGTTGATTGCTGAAGACGACTTATACTTCAGCAATAAAAAGCTTGCATGCAAAACATTTGCATCATAATGGAACATTATATTGTGCTGAAAAATTATGCATCTTTTCAACATCGATGTAGTGTATACATGCGAAATAAATTAAATTTTTATTGTAGTGGTGGTCCCTTGTTTTCGTTCTTAGGTCTGCGATCGCCTCAATTGATTTTCAACAGTAATTCCTGAAGATAAGCATTCATGCCAAGTTGGAGGTACAGTAGCTAGTGGCTTGAGATTTAACAGTTAATAAACCCAATAATTTTGGGGTTAGATGCTCTCTGGTGCAATCTGAAATAGATCTCTAGTGCTCAAATACAAATGACTTAATGTGTAGCACCATCATTAGTTTCCTACTTGGATAACATGCATGCATAACTCTATTGTTTACATCTCATCGATCCATTTTGCAAAGCAATTGTAGCTAGAATTGGAAGGATAGAATTTTGGATGATTCTAGTCCTGATAAACTCTAGAATTGCAAAGGTTTCAAGTATTTTGATAAAAAGTTTAGGTTGAGATTAGTGGAAAAGCGCGAGACTTAAAGTGAGTGGCTTGAGAGCTTGAGGTTTAGTCGAAAAGTGTGGGGCTCATGCCAGATACGTAAGACTTGGTAGGTATGTGATAATGTCTGCAAATATAACACAAACTGAAATCCAAATATGAATGCAACTTCTTAATTCATTAAAGATGAAAGACAAAACATGTTTACTGATTGATGGATTTTTTTAAATGGTGAATAAATTTGAACTTCGAACTTTGTTAACCAAACCAGATTGCTAGTTGAAATTCTGATAATGTTGGATAACAGAAATGTCATTCTTATCTTAAGTATCATTACCCTTCAAAACATTATCATATATTTTTAAATGCTGTGTACCTCTCATGTTTGTGTCTTTTAGGGTTTCATGGGTGTAGGAAATAATGTCAGTATGAAAAAATATCAGTAGAAATACCATTAACAAAGGATTGATCCATTTCAGACAGGAGCTATCACACACCCAGTTATTTCTGATTTCCGTCTCTTATACAGTAGACTGTTGACATGAGGCTGTTGCTCATTAAATTTGCAACAATATTTTGTTACCAGAATACTGTTTATTACCGTATGTTATTATTTTTTTATTGTAAATATTGTTTAGATTCTTTTAAACCTTACTTCATTAACGTCTCTGTTTCCATAGCTTGTATCAATTTTACCTACATTCTATGAACATACATCAGTGTAATAGAAACTTAATATTTCTACTGACTACCACTACCAGCTAATTAGATCCATGCAAAGGTATAGGAACCGTATTATTCAAAATGCCAATAGCAAGTGTGTTCAACAACCTGTCAGCCCTCAACCATTCATGCATAATCGACAACACGGTTTGTATCACTGTATTTGGTATGAATTTTAAACACGTGCCATGTTCTCACAATCACTCCTCTCCGATGCAAGTTAATGAGAAATCCAGTCAAGGCCGCATTAAATTTTATCGTATGTCTACACTAGAGTTATAGCGGATAGTTATAGCGCTTATACACTGATATAAAAAAGTTGAAGATTAAAATTATTTCTATTGATCTCATGATGATGTCTCAATAAAACGAAGACGAAAAAACAGAAATTACATTAGGCGAGGGCCTGCATGGGCTAGGGCTGCTTTGAATTGGGTAGGCAGTAGGTCATTCCCAACTATCGACAAATAAAAGGCAAAATATGTTTAACATCCAATTTCTTCATCTTCACTTGGTAGAGCATTCTGAGTTTTTTCCTCACCTAAGTCTACCTATTAACATTTAGGAGATTTTCGGCAGCATTTATAACCTGAGCCTCCAAATGTAGTATGCGAGTACGAACGTTGTTCATGATTCTTGAATGCTAGAATGTGTGAATTGCAGTGGCTAAAGATAAGGCTACCGTATTAGCTGTAATTTCAGAATCATATACGTACATATTTCAACGGCGTTCACCGTATCTCGTTCAGCCATATCTTTAGACACAGCGAACGAACTACCATGGTATTTTGCGGATTTCCCAAAAAAGGACATGAAAATTTATATGAAGTTTACAATGAAAGGTAATAATATAAGTTTGTCCTGTAATGTTTTATTTGGATTACTTTTGACAATTATAAAGTTAAAAACAACTCAAAAAATGTCATTTTAAAGATGCTTTGGTTGATATTATGAACCAACTAGGCCTAGTAGAATTGCCTCGAAAATGAGACTGTGGTCAAGCTACAGGTGTTATTGCAATCAACATGTGGCAAGTCAATTAACAAAAAGTTCTGTCGGATGAGAGCCTTGCCAATCCGGTCATTTTTCGGTGTTAGTTTGCGGGGTGAAGCGCTTGTTTTCTATCAGGTGACCCCATCCATACGGTCGGTGTCAGCCTCGTAACAAACGCTTGTTCAATAACTACGATATCACCGGTGTAACTTACACCGTCGGAACAAGGCTAGCCTTCAAATTAAAGTTTCAAAATCCATTGCATAAACGTTTTACCACAAATAGGCCTACAGTACACATCGTACATCATCAAAATTAATAGGGGTCTTGACAAAGATAGAATGTTGTACTTAGATAACATATATTCTTATAGTGGTCATGAATAATTGTTCTTTTATAGAAACAATTGCAATGTTTAATATTCTAGTGGTAAAGCTTGCGAAGCAAGCGTACCCTTTAGTTACTTAAATGCATTGTTAATTGACCAGGGAAATATTTTCAGTTGGAAGGAAAAAAATAATTTGATAAAGTAAGCAATTCAAATATTGAATTTCATTGTATAACTTTAAGTTTTGTATAAGTTTTGTATAACTTTAAGTTTAATAGTCAATATAGAAGTTACTATAGTGTACTGTATCGTAAAGAGGAATTCTATTATTGAACATTCACAGTCTGTGCTATGTCAGTAAAAAAGGTAATATGTTCATGACTCGACTACAATACAAAGTGAATCACTATGTGAAAAATGCTTTATGTTAAGTGTGAAATGCTGATTTGCATAATTGTTAAAATCAATTGTAACATTATTAGCTTCCATTCTCTTCTGTGCATCTAGGCATCGTAATAATTAATGATTATTACTTTGTATAAAGACCACTGGGTTGTATAAAAGCTATTGAAACAATGTTTAAGATCATACCCTGGACCTCAGGGAAGAACAGTGTACTAATACTGACTGAGTATCCAGAATAAAGAAAGATTTCTATCTATCTATCTATCTATCTATTAAACAAAGCATTAAAATATTCCATTCCTATATATTCTTTGCTTGTAGCTTAAACTTGATTTTATTAAATTATTGATTTACAGAATGGATTATGATCTGTTTTCTTCTACAGTTGGTTGTTGTTGCTAAGGTGAGAAATGGAGCAGACACGTGTAGAGTTGATGACTCTGTCGAGAGAAGAAACCTCAAAACTTCAGGAGGGAGTCACTTTGGTCAACAAGTCGGAGAATGAGAAGTACATAATATATCGTGATTCTGATGAGTTCACAGCCTGTAAGAATATATGTAAGCACCAAGGAGGGACATTCATCAAGGACATTGAAGATACCTCTAAGTGGTAAGTATATTGAATCAGTGCAGCTACTTCGTAGGCGACCGCCTCTCTTACGTGACCACTTACAAAAAAAATGTTTTTCATGTTCAATTACAGCATTAAGATACCTCTCTTAAACACCCATCCCTTGTAAGCAACTGTAACCACTTTTTAGTTCCTATGCATGTAATGCAATAAGAACTATTGTAATCACTCTTCATTTTTCCTTTGTTTTTTATTGTGTGTGTGTGTGTGCGTAGACATTTATGCAAATGCGCATGTGTCAAAGAAAAAGTTTTCTGACATTTTGTTTTACCTCGCGATGCGAAGTTCGATGGGAAGTTTCTGCAGAGTTCAGTCAGGGCTCACTCTAACCGATCGGCAAGTCGGTATGGATGAAGTATTTTGGTTTTACGGCAAAAAAATTAACTGCTGTGGCATAGGTATTTTGAAGAAGGCCTAAAATAAAACAAAAAGGTTTTAATACTTGCTGAAATACATGGTTTTTTCATTTAGATATCCATTTTTCTCTTCATCTCCATGCGACGTTTTTTTCTGTTGTATTAGTAGTGATATGAAGGTACTATATCCCCGACAGTTGGCTATGCAGCAATGTACCCTTTGAATGCAAATTGAAGACAAGTGAAAATATAAAGGCAGCCGACTGTCGGGTACGTAACGACCATTAACTTTCCACAAAAACATGAGGCCTAGTTCAGTACAGTAGTTACTGCAATGCGAGGATGGTAGATCGTTCAGTCAGTGATATCGTTTTATCGTCTAATACATTTCAATAATGTGTGTAAAATTTAAGAATGCACCGTGTGGGTCGCTTTCTTTGTTATGCGGTAGTAGTATACGTAGCAGAGTGACGGCAGCAATCTAAGCCTAGCCTAGGGCCTAGATAGTATACGTTCTTGATCATCGTAATGAAAACTTCGGGTGACAGACGATTGGGCCCAACTGGTGTGGACAATCGGACCCAAGATAGCTTCACATAAATTGTAGTCCTAGTAGGCCACTGCCACCACCCTCACTCCTGATATCGTTCTAAACTACTGTAAAATGAAATTACTGTATACCTAGCTAGGCCTAGGCCCTATGCCTACAAAAATTTTTCAAAGAAATTTGATAAAAATATTACTGTAATTTGCCTGTCAATTACATTATCAATGTGGTCTAAAATCACTATTTTGGGCCATAAAGACTTCCCCTGTATTTTTCAACCTCCACACAAATTTGACCATATATATATATATATATATATAT